AACTGGATAAAATATTTTTAAAAGTAATAAGTGTTTTAGAAAGAGAAATATATTCCCCAGACCATTACAGTGCGGGTTCAATTCCCGCATGGGGACGGTAACGTCTCCACCATGAGGTTCTGAGGCGGCTCCCGTGTCTCAAAACATAACTCCTGATCCTTCAGATTGAGGGTTGGACACATGGTCATTAGCCTTATCCCGCAAAAAAACAACATGATGGAGATGTCTGCAAAAGGTTGTCAACGAACCTAATGAAGAGGGAGTGAATTGTGACTAATGCAGGAAATCAAATAAGTCAAGAGGCCTAAGAAAAAAAATGGGTTAGCCGACGTTTTTCTTTATTGGTGCACAGCCCATTCCTAGTTTAACTATATCTTTTTTGCAGAGTTTTGATCACCCACATTTTTTGGTTCCATGTAGTAACCTCTTCCATATTCTTCTTTTGTATATCGGTAGGCTTTATGCAAAGACTTATCAGCAGTTGGACAATATTTGGTTCCTTGTACACCTCGTTCAGGTCCTGATCTGTTCTTCGTGTCTATACATAGCCAATGCACATTTTCTTCAAAATGGATCTCAGTATCTTTCTTTGATATATTAAGAGTGCTTGTTCATCCAATTTGGAAATTATCCGGGTATCAGGCTATATGTCAATTCACATGACGGTTTTATATGTTAGTATTTTCGTTGACCTACTTATCACTCTAATACTGACAAGTAGTTCTTATACGGAACAAACCTTTGAGTATCAATTTTTTTAAACAATCAAAGACCGAAGAATTCCTAAACCAGGATCATTTAAATTTCTAAAAATACTGAACAAAGGAGTTTCCAGTAGAAGCCAGCTTCGCATGCCTGCGTTAAAACGCATAGCTACTAGAACGCGCGCAATAGGTGGTGATGATAATACATATATTAGTAGATGCACAGACATTAACAAAATATCGTTTATAGAGGTGTAATTATAGATAGTTTTCAAATCTACATCAATATATCAATACATAATAACGAGATTTCGCATTGTTTGGATCGGATATTTTTATCTTTGAGAGAACGAAAAGAGGAAGAGGGATTAAATTGGATAAGAGAATAGGATTATATAAATTAATAACTCTTAGATTTATAATTGAAACCTACACCCCTCAACACCAACTGAAACAATAGAAGAAGAACTAAAAACTTAAGGTTTAAAAGTGCGCCAGATAAAAAAGGAGAGTCAGGAACAGCCAAGAGTAAAAGTTCCTCTACCTCTATTTTTTATAGACCTGAAACTGACTCCCGGGATCGAAAAAATTTACGAACTTACAAGATTATACAACACAATTGTAAAAGTGGAGAAGCCGTATCCCAGGAGGAATATCGTCCAGTGTCATAATTGCCAGGCGTATGGCCACACGAAGACGTATTGCCATCATTTGCCGTGTTGTGTAAAATGCGGAGGACATTACAAAACTATTGAGTGTGCTAAATCTAAACAAGAACCTGCAGTTTGTGCTTTGTGCCATGAAGGACATCCGGCGAACTACAAAGGCTGCCAGATATACAAGAGTATTAAATCCAGATACCAGAAATGCCGATACCAAGAAGGAACTGAAAGATCCGGATCAAGAAAAGAACCTTCCAAAACCATACACTCTAATTCTTAATGTTTCACTTGAACCCGTTATCAAACCTTCTCCACAGTCACTTATTAGGGGCCCAGTTAACTGGGACCTTTTCCGCCAAATCCTCTCCGATAAAATTGATCTCAATATATCCTTAAAAACTTCCGATGACCTATATTGTGCCCTAAATTCCTTTACTACCACAATCCAACAAGCCGCCTGGACTGCCTCATTCTCAAAAGACTCCTCCCGAATTCCTAAAAATACCATTCTACCCCAATACCTCATTGACCTAATCCACACCAAACGCCGTACCAGATTATTACAGCGTACAGCGTACTTGACATCCTACCAACCGCGGCTCCTATAATTATTACTTCAAAAATTAAAACTGGAATTAGCCACCTTCAGATCACAATCATTTATCTCCTACCTATCCTCCCTCACTGCTCGTGACAATTTTCTTTGGAAAACCACAACGAAAATCCTAATCCCTCACCAAATTTCACATTCACTCTGAAGAGATGACGGCTCCTGGGCATCATCTGACGATGTTTGGCATTTAGGTCTGCACCCAAGATGAAGTGATGTCCTAAGGAGTCGAGGAGAGAACGGAATTGGGCATTGGATATGGATCGCTTAGGAGGGCAATACGCTGATGCAAGGGTAACCGGAAAGGAGAAGGATTTTATCACGATAGCGGTGGACTGTAGGAAATCATGTATAGGTAACGGGAGTAGGTGATGGGAGAGAGGATTGGTGTACAATGACAGCAGTACCGGCATGTGCTTTTCCGTCAGCGTGGTCAGTACGATATGTCAGGTATTGTGGTATTTTGAAGTGCTGTTTAGTGGTTAGTCGAGTTTCAGTAATTAGTGCCACGTCAATATTCTTGTCAAGTAATAATGTAGTTAGTTCGTTTGTATGATTCCTAACACCATTCGCATTCCAAAGGAGAATGGATAAAGGTTTATTGGAAGTCATTTAAGGATTTTTCGGGGGAGGGATAAAATGTGATACAAGATTGGTGAGAAGAGATATCAAAGGAGTAACAAGGGATCTGAATTCGGAGAGGAAAGATGCAAGTAAACTGGTGAGGTCTGTGGTATTTGATAGAGGAGGAATGTGAGAAATTTGGTGTTGATAAAACTGTTAATGATAAGGTGAAGTTTGATTAGGATGTTGAGGGTGGGGTTGAGAATTTTGAGGTATATATTTCTTGTTGCGGCAGGGTCTCACAATAAATAACATCATTCTTATCTCCTAATAGGTGTGCAAAAGACACCGGTGGATCAATTATTTTTGAAGATCCTCTTCTTGATGCTCTAGGTTCTCTTCTTGATGCCTCTGCTTCTTCTTAAGTCCGGAATTTTTGATATCTTGATTTGATATTCTTGTAGATCTGGCAGCCTTTTTAGTTCGCTGGATGTCCTTCAACGCACAAAGCACAAACTGCAGGATCCTGTTTCGGTTTTGTGCACTCCCCGGATTTGTGCTGTTCTCCACATTTCACACAGCGCGGCAGATGATGGCAGTAAGTCTAGGTATGACCATATGCCTGGCAATTGTGACACTGTACGATTTCCCTCTTTGGATATGGCTTCTCTACTATAACACTTGTGTAGTATATTCTTCTTATTTCGTATATTTTTTCGATCCCTTGAGTTGGCTCCAAATCTACGAAAAACAAGGGTAGAGGAACTTTTAGTCCTGGCTGTTCTTTACTCTCCTTCAGAACATTTGTGATATGGCGCACTATGAAACCTAATTTTTTTCAGTTCTTCTTCTATTGCTTCGGTTGGTGTTGAGGGGTGTAGATTTCTTATGACTACCTCAAAGCTCGATCTTGCCGTAATTGGTACGTATGAAAATCCGCTTTGGTTTCCGTTAGATACTTCACAATTTTTCTGTAGGTTTCAGCTGTATCTAGTGATATCTTCGTGTCCTTTGTTCTGCTTAGACATGAATAGCTTCCAGAGCCAGTTATTTTGTTCAGTTGTGAGCATAGTAACTGAACATTTTTTATATTTTTAACGAATATGGGTGGAGGTCGAGGATCTCTTGGTATCGAAGCGGACTCCATCACTCTTTATCATCCTGAAGAACCTGATAGGGGTTAGGGGTGAAAAATGGAGATTGTTCGGTTATCTCTTGTGAAGATGTACCTGTTTGATGCTGAAGTTCTGCAATTGTTTGTTTTAATGATGTTCCTGGCTGGGTTTCATTTTCTCTGGAGCTAATAGGCGTTACTGCAGGTGTTTGACGACATTGGCGAGGCTTTTGTTTGACTGGCGAAGAACAAGTTGTTGTGCCTAACGGCCGAATTCTCTTGATAGACGCTCTACTAGACATAGCCTGAAGGTGATATCCCATAAAAGAAATAAAAGGGGGAAAAAAAAACCTATAATTTATAATAACAAACAATAAATATCAATTACTATTGACCTGTTTTGAATGAATAATCTCAAAGATTTCACTGGAAAATAAGCAAATTCTGAGAGACGATGTAGAAACACGACCTTTAGCATCACCTGATCCACTGCCTTCCTATTATGATTTTAAAAAATCTTTTAAATCCCGTAATTGTTTAAAGATGTATATCATTTTTTCATATTGTTACATAACATTTTAATTGTTATTACATTTTTTTTACAAACACTGTTTCAATTAATTATTTACCAATCTAAACAACATTTGCGATATTTTCTGTAAATTAAGCCTGAACTTGTTTAAAACTTTCTAAAACAAAAAGTATATTATCACAGTATGCAAAATCAACTTTCAGTTGAGTATTTTTGAATTGGTATATAGATGACTAAATTAAAAAACCAATGAAAACAAACTCATAATGCATTTTTTTTTTTTTATTCTTTTAGCCTAACTAAATAATAAACATGCCTAATATTTTCCATTACACAGAGCATTTGACATAGCTGCTCCTCACTTCCTCCACATGTTGCTCTCGTTTCTTCATCCTAGTTCGTAGTAGTTTGTGGTTGTCACTCCGCAATCCTCTTGGCCTAGCTGAATTCTTTCCTCCTGGACCTCCATTTCCACCTTCTTAAAGTTAGAAATCTACACAATCTCCTCAATATCTTTACCTTGGTTTTGTTTCTGATTCATAGTTTAGTTTTCGGTCTAGTTATCCCAGTACTTATGGTTTCATACCACGCCAGTAAAGATTTTGTTTAATCTCCAGATTGCATAACATTATACTAGGACTGGTAGAAGTATAGCTTGGTAATTTCATATGTTACTATTTATGGTAAGTTATTATTTAGCCTTTTGTATTAACTTATGTATAGAGAATTAGCGACTACATCGCCTATCAACTTCTTCATTCGTCACAGAGTTATTGATAATAGTTTCTGATTTTAGATAAGACCTTGTAGCGGAATGGTTGCATGTGCATTCACAAGGCACTGGCGAACCAGGCAGTTACCTCCCGTTTGGAAAATGTTAAGTATGATGTAAGTAAACCTATTATTAATAATATATACATATATATATATATTATGACGGAGCTTTGGTCGTGTATATTAGGTCATAGATCATATCGTATACACTAAAACCTCTTTTTGCTGTACTATTTCTACTCTATGACGATCATTTATAATACAATGGCATTTATAATACTCCTTACTACACTATTTTGCTTTAATGTAGTCGTTAATGTTAAAGTAACTAACTTATTCTTATTAAGAAATAGTTTAATTTCTTTATACAATTTCACATATTATAACTGATGAATGTTCGACTTTTATTTTGTTTTCTACAGCTTTCAATTTCGTATGTGTCTGTTTGTTTATATGATTCAGCTTGAAATTTTTAGTTTTCCTAAACCATTTGTAGGTTCTGTTCAAGTCACTACCCATTCCGTTTTAACTATTTTTTTATTTCATTTTTCCAAGTTTTCATCTTATCTTAACACATTGTAGAGTCTTGGTTGTAATAGCTTTAAGTTTTCTGATCTTATTTTTAGATCTATTTTGTATCTTTTAAATGTTCATTTCTGCCCCTAAACTTCTGTGATCATTCTCTGTATTCATTTCTTTAACCACCTTAACACTACTAGCCCCTTCTTACTGGATGTTATAAATATATTTCATTTTTGGATAGACCATTAGGACTAATTCAGGTTCATTTGAGTTCAATAGACTTTTTAAAGAAAATATACATTTCGTAGTACACTAATTTGGTGAAGAAATGCTAGCCTTGTTTAATATTTTTTTTTCAATTAGCAGATTAAAAAAAAAAATTCAAAAGATCTTTAGGCTAGTAGTATTTCGGAATTAAATCACTGCTGTAGTTTTTTGCAAATTAAAGATAATATTTAATATTTGCTTAAATAAGGTCTATTTTTTTCACAGCATCATATTAATAAATTACCTACAAAGCACAAAAGATAAAATGATTTTTTTAATCTTTAAAATTATTCCTCTTTTTTTTATGTTTTATATGGTAATGATAACATGATACAATTACAATGTACTTTACCTTTCCTAACAGGTACTCCTATTGTTGATAAATTGAAACTATCTTACTTTGTTTTCTATTTGAATGTATTTAATTATTCACACATCACATTTTTATATTTTCATACAGTTTTATTATTTTTCATAAATAGTATGAATATTCTTTTGTTCCAAAAACGTTTATTTTAAAGTTTTTTTGTTTTGTTTTTTCAGGTCTCAACTTTCTCAGATGAACGTGGCAGAGTTTGTAGAACGCCAGAATAGTTCCCCAGCAAATGGGGAAACACCACTTCATGCACACATAACTCCAACCAACAATAATAATAATGTTATAGCAAATAAGGGAAGCATTAATTGTATTTCAGCTTCTAGATATTTGTTCCTTCAACACAATTTGGACATCAGTGCAATACCTAGAGATGGAAATATCATTTCAAGTCCTGAGACTACCAGTATAGGTGAAAATTATTCTCCTAAATTTGATGTCAGTAGTCATTTTCAGAGAAGATGTTTGTTTCGTCAGAGGAAACGACAGGAATTCATACCAGCTAATAAGAAAGACAAAACTTATTGGGAAAGAAGAAGGAGAAATAATGAATCTGCGAAAAGGTCTCGAGAGAAACATGTATACAATGATATGATTCTAGAACACAAAGTCTTAGAATTGAGCAAAGAAAACCACATCTTAAAAGCCCAGTTAGCTGTTATTAAAGACAAATATGGTATCAGTGGTGAATCAGTAGTAAATGTTGAACAGGTGATGGCTTCATGCCCTACAAATGATGAAATATTAAGAATTATTAAGAGCACTAACTCTTCAACTCCCCCAGTAATGTATCGACAAAGTTCTTTGCCTATACCTCCACCTATTATATACCGAACGGCTAACACAGGACCATCCTCACCTATAGTACCAATTCGTCAAGTATTTAATCCAGTCTCACCAGCACTAAATCCTCCTGTTTTAGAAGCTGCTGGAAACAGTTTGCTAAATTTGAGCAGAAGTCGTCCTATTGAATTCTCCATTTCTAAAGAATCCCCTCTCGCATCTGGAAGTGGAGAAGTCTCTCTAGCTTCCAACAAGAGCCTGCCACATAAACTGCGACATAAAAGTCTGCTTAATGATGAGAAAGTTGCAGTTACTGCATTGCTTTCTCTCCATAATATTAATAAAGAGGCACCGTTTCGTGCAAGGCCTCCATGGGATGGATAAGGAAGTAGTGATGAAAGAGATTCTGGAATTTCACTTGGACCAGAGTGGATTATGGCATCATATACTATAACAAATCAGTAGCATGCTGCTCCTAGATCTCCAATTATTCATGACATATGACTATTAATTAAAGGAATGTGCAATTATATATCGGAAAGTTGTGTTTAAAAACTTTATTTTTATAGTTTTGTAGCTTATCAATATAACTTAGTCTTCTAAAATGTTCTGTTAACAGGAAACTCAACCATAATGATGCAATATGTAAATTTGGATCCTTTTTTTAATGGAGTATATCTGGAAAAATACCAAAATTTAATGTATCTAGATAATTTTATAATTATATTAAAATTTGTATTTTATATTTTTTCAATGTGTGACAATATGTATATAATAATAAATGATAATCTGAAATAATTTATTATTATATACATATTGTCACACATTGAAATATATATATATATATATATATATATATATATATATATATATATATATATATATATATATATATATATATTATGGTTTTTATATTCACAAATCTCTTTTTGTACAAAAGTGAAATAAAAAGTATTAAAAAATGGAAAAAAAAATGACAATTCATCAGTAGATTGTTGATTAGTGGCATTCAATAAAATCTGTTAACTTATTATGTTGTACTTATTTCTGATTTTTCACCCCACTTAATATAAGGGTAATATATTATTTGAAAATAAAACATTATTACATTTAATGAAAGAGACATTTAATGTCTAGTTGAGTAATTATTTGACGTATTTTAAATTAAGTTTCAGTTCTGAAGATCTCTAAGTTAGTGTTTGAATTTGATTGTGGTTCATGTTCATGATAAGTTTATGTACTACAAAACTTTATAGTTCTTGTTCATAAATATATGAAATGTTTAGATTCAATTCATACCCTTGAGGTCATGACATGAATAGCTGAAACTTTGCTGGACCAAACAGAATAATGGTTGAAGTAAATGATTTCATCGCATGTATTTACATTTTCTAAATAACTATAATAATTAGAATAGATAAATAAACAACATAATCTTTAAGATTCTTTAATCAAATCAAAAGATCGATTCAAGAAATATGTTTTTTTAATATAATTTTTACTTTCACTTACGTATATATGTAATATATAGTAAGAGTAAGTATTGCGATTGTGAAAATTTTCAAATCTCAGTTTTCAACTGAAATACATGTTTTGAGGCCCCCTGAGTCCAAATAACCAAGTGTTGCAAAATGGTCTGTGTGTGTGTGTGTGTGTTAACAGTCTAGTTTTGTAATCACTGGAGTTCTGGCAATAGCCAGCTTCTCCACTCAAGTCATGAGTGTTTGTGGTTTTAGTGCCCTCTCTCAGTCTCCACCGGACTGGTAATGCCAGCAACGCGGTTGAGAGAGAAGCGCTGGCATATCTTAGAGTCTCGTTTTGTCCTTCACACTTGGGGGTAAGGGCTGGACTCGGAGATCTCTTGCCTGATTGTAAATATTGTATTTAAGTATGAATGTTTTTTCTATTTATTTCTTTTACTCATAATTTATTTAATTTTGCTACAAATTTCTGTATTTTATTTAATTTTAACTCTAAGTTACATTTCCTGGGTTTATTTTAGTTTTTGCCTTTGTTATTTGATGTATATATATTTTTTTTTATCTTTTATTTATTTATTTATTTTTATTTTTTTATTGTATTGTATATATGGTATGAATGTGCCTCACTCAGCCTTAGTACTCAGTGCCCGTAAGTGTGGCAAAATGTATTACTTCTTACAAAACAGATATAAAAAAAAAGTTTTGTAATAGAAACACATTTTGAGTGTATCGTAATGGATTACTTTCTGTTTGTTTATTTCTCATGCCTATTTCATATTCAGTTAAATTGGTGTACTGTTATGATTTGTAGTGAATTGCTTTTTCAAGGACCACCTTTTAAAACAATACTTTAATTCTTAATAGAGCAAAGTTAATAACATAGAATAAACATATAAAAATTATGAATTATAATACCTAATGAGAGAAATTGATTTCAAATTGAAAAATATGTTTTTAATAATAATCAAAAAGTAAAAATTAAGGTTTTCAATCTTTTATTTGTGTTGATTCTTAATTTTTATTTATTGTAAATGATGAAAATGTTTCTGTAAATTGATTTTAATTTGAACAAATTATTTTAAAATCTTTTTGAAATAAATTTACCACAAGTAATATTATAAAAATATCATATTTAAATTTTAAAATGTATGTAAGTTTGTAAGAAATACATTAGACATTTATGTATGTAAATATGTCTAGATCATAAAACAACTTACAATCCAAAAATATACATATTCAGATGAACACATGAATTTTGAACTCAACTTCATTATACTTGTTCTTATATATTTATGTATGAGCATTCCTAAATTGCCGATTAATAATAAATACATGTTAGGTAAAATTTAATGTTTTATGAAAATTTATTATCAAACATTCATTAATATTACGTACACATATAATAAGAAGTTTAAAAAATGTTTATAAGTGGTATATAGCTAAAACGTAATTAGTCACTTTAGCTTGAGATTTGGCTTATTGCTGAATCAAAGGAGACAAAAATAAATTATGCTAAACATCCGACTGATTCTTCTTTTTTTTTCTTGTTCTTTATTGGACCGAGCCTCCAGTTAACGAACTACAAATTAAAAAAATAAATTAATAATAACCTTGCAAAATTGTCTATAACTTTGATTGATGTTATTAGAAAAGATTTTAGCACTACATAATAAAATCCTAAATAATTAAAGTAGGACAAAAGTGAGGAAAAAACTCACTGAAATCCATCATAAGACAAGTAAAACTGAATTTGGTATAAAAGGGGAAGTTAACAATTAATAAAATTAGAAATTATAATGTTTAAGGCTAACGGGAGGGTAAAAAATATAAAGTATAAATAAATATAATTGTTTATTTATAGTTTATAACACAGTTATGATCATTGAATCCCTTCATTCCAGTACATAAATATTATTTCATAAATAAATACGATGAAAAGCAAAAAAGAAAAAATCAAAAGAAATATCCGGCTGAGTAAATCGCTCAGCAAGAAACCTGATATATTAGAAGATAGTTAACATATGTTATATTAATATACCCAAATATCGTGCCCTAGTAGGATAGTGAGGAAAACGCTTACTTTAATCCATCATAAGACAAGTAAAACTGAGATGCGCATAAAAGGGGAAGTTAACAATTAATAAAAAATATAAATTACAATGTTAAAGGCTAACGGGAAAGTAGAAAAAAGCAATAGCAAATCAGATGAAATAAATCAAAATGTCAAAGTTTATTTCCAGAGCAGTTTGCTTATGGCTACACTTATCCCACATTAATATTAAAAAGTTTGGTACAAACCTAAAATCTTACTAAAAACAGAATAACAAAGGCTATCATCGGATAGGAACCAAAGGTCGATCATCGATTATGTACTGGTTAAGAGGGAAGAATTCAGAAATGTACAAGATAGGAGAGTGAAGATGGGCTTCAAAATAGGCAGTGACCACTACCTGTTAATGCTCGATAAAATTTGGAATGACACTAACAGGAGGAACAGATGTGTAGGTAGTAAGAACTAAAAGATTAAATCTTACAGGCTGAAGGAGGATGAAATGGCCCAATACTATCAGAAGGAAGTAGAAAGTATGTCACGAGATATTTACCAATCATGGGATAGCGATGATATTGAGGAAAGCTGAACAGCATTTATAAATATCATTCTTGATGCCGTGAGACACGCCTGTGGTCAGAAGAGTATTGGGTCAAATTTTAAGCGAACTGCTTGGTGGACAGAGGATGTAAAGAGAGCTGTTAAGGAGCAGCTTGGAAAGACTTGATGAGCCAAAGAACACCCGTTGCTCACCAAAAGTACAAAAAAAAAGAGAAAGGAACCAAAAGTAAAGTATTTCTAGCCAAGAAGAAATCGTGGGCATATGTGAGCCGCAAACTTGAAGAAAACGCAAAAGAAAATCAAAGAGAAATGCATGAGCATTGGAAGAAAACCTAATAGGGTTATGAGGGTATTGAGGGTTCACGTTGAGATTTTGAGGCAGATTGAAAGTTTCAAATACTTGGATGCACAACTCAACGAAAATGGATATATTGATGAGGAGGTAATGCATAGAATAGGAGCTGCTGGAAGAATGTTCGGCTCGGTTAGGAAAGGTTTCCTGAATTGAAAAGAAGTGACCAAGGAAACGAAGATGATGGTCAACAGATCAGTACTCCTTCCTATACTGACGTATTTTTCCGAGTCCTGGACACCTTCTTCGAAACACAGGAGCCAGATCCAGGCTCTAGAGATGCGATACCTACGAAATTTGGAGGAAAAACTAGACGAGGCAGAATTCGCAAAACTACAATCCGGGCCAATATCGACGCCAAAGCGATCGAAACTATAATAGAAGAACATAAATTGAGATAGTTTGGCCACCTTCTCCGTGTGGATCGGAACAGAGTCGCAAGGAAGACGTATGAGACTTGCGTTCAGGGTAGAAGACCGAGAGGTAGACCCAGAATCTCCTAGGAAGAAGGCGTACGAGATGCATTCCAGAAGCTAGGTTTAGAATGGAACAGGAGACGAGAGCTGGTACTGGTAAGGTCCATCTGGTCCAAGCTCTACTAGAAGCATCCTCACACTGTGTAAGCGGTATAGAGGAACATGATTAAGAGATGCTGACAAAGGCTATAAATACAAAATGGGAAGTATACATAATAAATCATTATTACTTCTGAAAATATAACTGTGTATGTCATCATGGTTACCTATATTATTTCAAAAATTTAAGGTTTAATAAAAATGTGATATACTGAAATGTTATATAAAAAAAGTAAGCAATATTTCTTAACATATCAATTCTATGTTATCTGTTTCAAAAAGATTATTTGGGCTACTAAAGATTAACAAACATCTTTTGTAGTAATTGGTGGAGTTAGTGGTTTGCAGATACCCTATCTTAACCG